ACATATAATTACATCAGACCTTAATGGATAAAATACTCTTATAAAAATATTTTATTTTGAATATAATAAGAAATGTAATGTGTCATTATTAATAAAGTATTATTTTCCAGCGTTGAAAGCGACGATGGCATTGTCAGGAGGGAGGTCGGTGAACTTAAGGAAATCCTCGACGCTGACAACAAGCCCCAACTCGTCTTAGTCGTCAAAGGAGAATACTCCTACCCCAGACAAGACGGCAGCGTTGAGTCCATCAGCTACGTTGCTGATGAGAATGGTTTCAATGCTAACGGTCCTTCCATCCCCCAGCCCCCAGCACCCGCCAGGAGATAAACACACTACGATTGGACTTTGATAAACGTTAATTGGTTAATTAGTTATGTATAACTCGATCCTTCATTGTTGTAACTGTCAATAAAATTAACAGTTAATACAAAACGAAGTTTATGTTTTTCGGCCCCTGTTAAATTTTCTCATTTGTTAGTCAGAAAAATATTACCTGACTAATAAAAACCTATTTATTCTATCTTAATAACCTCAACAGGCGGATTCATTTAGAGAAGGCTTTTAGTATAATGTGGTACAGAGTGAAAAATACTTCAGTTCATGATATCTTATAAGTCTTCAATACTTAAAATAATTTATTATCGTCTTTTATCATTTCAAATTCAGAATTTTTCTTTGGGACCCAATAATTTTTATAACAACATAATTTGATATATCTTTTTGTACATGTTGTAAAACTGTTAGAAAATTATACAATGTTGTCTAATTTCATGGTTGAAAATTTGTTTTTTATCAGTTAACACAGAGGGATAGGCTTAAACTTATATATCAATGAAATAACAGCGGTTTGCAGATGTGCACTCATCACGACAAAACTACCGGGGACATTTCAGTTAAACTTTCTAAGTATGAATTTAAAGAGACTAACTTGGTTATTAAATTTCGATACGAGTATCAACTTTTACGAACCAAGTTTTTATTTCTCGTATAGTTACAATGATGTGGATTGAACCATCATATATTTTAAGACATACAATGTTGTTCAGGTAGTTACTGTAACTATCAGTATATTCTTACACACGAAAAATCCCCAATTTTTTTTAAATTCTTTTATTGTTATTACAAGTATAGGAACTGATATTTGAAATCCAGATAATGGGACTGACATATTACAGTCCCGTTTTGTAGTCAAATACTAATTTTATAAGAAAAATTCCTTAAATGCAATATAAGCAGATAAAGAAAAACCTAATAATTAAATTTCATAAAATGACTATAAACCTATTTGTAGATTTCTTAATAAACCAATCACAGGCCCAAATTTCCTTACATAATTTTGCAAAAAAGATGAAGGCCATGCAATGCTGGACCGATATTAACCAATTAGCTTAGGGCCAATGCATAGAAACTGGCATCAAATTAATCAAAATCTATTTATCGGTTTGGCAGTTACGATGTTACAAACGGATAGATCACTACAGACATCGACGTCAAACTTGTGACATCCATCTTTTTTCGTCGAGAATTCAATATAAAAATCACTGTCATTTTAATTTTGCGGACACTTCATTTTGTCACCATAAGTACTCATTTTCATTTGGATTAATTATTGAGAATTACTTTTAATGGAATAGTAATGGAAATCATTTTGATGTACAAGAACTCGAAGCGTTAGTGATATCCTAACTTATAAAACTTTACTTGTTTGGTGATATCAACTAAAGCATAAACAAAGTGCTTAGAATTTTTTTCTTTACAGATAAAGATTGCCTTCTTAAAGAAAATAATTTTGTAGTTAATTTTATAAGCGACGAAATAGTTTTTTAATATAATATATAGTTTTTAAAACCAATACAATACGATTCCAAGAGTACAAAGATCACAAAAATATTTTTCTCTAATATCAGTATATTACTTCTAAGTAATAAAAAAACTTTGTTTATATTAACTATAAATTTTATTGACAGTTATAACAATGGCAGATCGAGCTATACATAACTAATTAACCAATGAACGTTTATCAAAGTCCAATCGTAGTGTGTTTATCTCCTGGCGGGTGCTGGGGGCTGGGGGATGGAAGGACCGTTAGCATTGAAACCATTCTCATCAGCAACGTAGCTGATGGACTCAACGCTGCCGTCTTGTCTGGGGTAGGAGTATTCTCCTTTGACGACTAAGACGAGTTGGGGCTTGTTGTCAGCGTCGAGGATTTCCTTAAGTTCACCGACCTCCCTCCTGACAATGCCATCGTCGCTTTCAACGCTGGAAAATAATACTTTATTAATAATGACACATTACATTTCTTATTATATTCAAAATAAAATATTTTTATAAGAGTATTTTATCCATTAAGGTCTGATGTAATTATATGTCTGATCGAAGTTACCTGAGAGAGTATGCACCGTTGGGTTGTGGCTCGAAGTCGTAGCGGAGGATCTTTGGGACCTCCTTCTCTACGGGGAGAGCAGCAACGCAAGCCACAAGGGCGAGGGCGACAATGAACTAGAAGTAGAAACAAACGTCTGTTAATACACATATTCAAAAATAAATTATTGATTTTATTTGACTAGTTCACAATTCCAGACATTATAATAAGTTAGACAACAATATATTATAATAAAGAAGAAGAGCACGTTATTTAATATAAAATATAACAAACCATCTTCATGGTTGATTTGGTCTGTTTGCTTCTCTCGGAACAACTGATGGTTTTACTCTAAACGCGAAATCTTTTATACATTTCTGTTGGCTGGAATTTTAGAAGGTCATAGGCCTGTTTGAATTTAAATAAACATTATAATAATTATGTCTACCGTGTGTTTCGTATTAATAAATTAACCCTTCAAATGCACGATCTCCTTAGACAACTGTTTGCTTCAGTTTTAAATTACAATGTAATATCTCATAAGAAATAAATATTGTCAATATTTTATGATTTTTTTGTTTATAAAAGAGTAATTAACTTTTTCTAAAAATTAAATAATTCTAAATATATTAATAAATTGTTTCTTTGCTCTTTCATTAATAACGGTTTCAATCTGAAACCATTTTAGTTCTTGTATTGTTCTAAATAAAATCAAATAGAATTAATAAAAATTTCATTGCCTTTTTATGTTAAAAGAGAAGATTGCTTAAATGCGAAAACAATAAACTTAAAAATCAATAGCGATTCATGAAATTGTTAGTAAGAATTTTGGCACAAATAATAGTTCTTTAAATTCTATTGCCTTTTTTTAAAACTCACACAATTTATTACAAAGAGACATGAAAAAAAGGTGAAATTCGTCACAATATATCATACTTTGCAAGATGTGACTTCTTCTTTAAGTTTATTTAAATCTTTATATATATAATTCCTCTGTGAGAGTGTATGTCTCTGAACTTCTGTCAAACGACTGGACCGGTTTTGATGAAATTTTTTGTGTGTGTTCAAGGGGATCTGGGAATGGGTTAGATTCACAATTTTGTCCGCTGGACAATGTTTTTTTAATTAATTTTTAATTTATTAGTAGTTGTTGATACAAACGTTTTTTTTTTACATTAAATTTGACAACTAACTAATATGTCAATCATTCTGTCGCACTTCAAAACACGGAGATTTATGATTTTAATAGGTAAACTCCAAAAATATAAATAAAAAAACGTAACAGATATTTCTTGATTATCTTGGGTCTTCTAGTAATTTATAAAGAAAGTCACATTTTATGCAACTTTTTTTGTTAAACTTAATATTCATTTCTATTGTAATTTCTGTCCAATGCTCTAAAAAATTAAGTGAATTCCTCAATATTAATTCCATACATTTTTTATTCGTTTATTTCTGGCGAAGTTTTTATAAAGGAAAATAGCTTTTGTCGTAAACACACATATGTAAGTGCATACACATATAGCGTATAGGTATATATTTGCTTTTATTTTTATAAAAAGATATGATTTCGATGTAATGTTGTTACATTTTTAATAATTTTGATGTAATAGTTTCGATGCAATACACAATTATTTTGAATGATGATTTAAAGGTATCTTTATGGATTTTATATATTATCGGTGAAGTTGTAAAACAAATAATTTTTAAATATAAAAAAATAATAATTTTATGGCCTTCTTTGTGACGACCAAAAATATTTTTCATCATGATCGACGTACAAACAACTAGGTTAAAAAATCTTTAATGTATACGTAACAATCGCAATCACAGAATATTTTACTAAATTAATCAGATTCAATGAATATATAATGAAAATATCACATAACACGTGACGTTCTGCTCCACGCTATTATCACATGGCCGTGGGAAACAAGAACATGTCGAACATCTTTCATATAATATGCCATTGGTATTTTATTTTCTATGTAAGTCTAGTTACTGGTTTTAACTAAATATAACCTATTATTAGTGTGGTATCAAAACGTTCTAAGCCATGTTCAGTCAGTTAAGTTGTTCCAAATGATTTACTCAATAATTCCGTCACACACGACTATGAAACAAATTCCTTGAAATCCATTCTATACATATGTGGTCTAGCTTTAATATTAAAATAAAATTCAACTATCCATTTGTCTTGCACTTCTAAAATTAATTACGAGATATAAATATAATATTTTAGGAAGGCAAAAACAATGAATTATTAAACTTTAATTAAAGAAAACCACAATAATGACGGCAGTATGTACGCGGCTACATAACTATTTTTTTATATTAAATCTAATCATAATCTAGCGAGTATAAAGGAAAGAAAATATATAATATAGTTTTGTTTATAAATTATGAAAAACTGACGATATGTGGGTCGTAGGGCATTTAGAACCCAGAAAAACTTTTACTTTGATGTAAGGTTGTCATAAAAAATAATAAACATACATATCTTATTAGAATATGTAAAAATAAACTTATTTGTATTAACTGTAAATTTTATTGACAGTTATAACAATGACAAATCGAGCTATACATAACTAATTAACCAATTAACGTTTATCAAAGTTCAATCGTAGTGTGTTTATCTCCTGGCGGGTGCTGGGGGCTGGGGGATGGAAGGACCGTTAGCATTGAAACCATTCTCATCAGCAACGTAGCTGATGGACTCAACGCTGCCGTCTTGTCTGGGGTAGGAGTATTCTCCTTTGACGACTAAGACGAGTTGGGGCTTGTTGTCAGCGTCGAGGATTTCCTTAAGTTCAGCGACCTCCCTCCTGACAATGCCATCGTCGCTTTCAACGCTAGAAAATAATACTTTATTAATAATGACACATTACATTTCTTATTATATTCAAAATAAAATATTTTTATAAGAGTATTTTATCCATTAAGGTCTGATGTAATTATATATCTGATCGAAGTTACCTGAGAGAGTATGCACCGTTGGGTTGTGGCTCGAAGTCGTAGCGGAGGATCTTTGGGACCTCCTTCTCTACGGGGACAGCAGCAACGCAAGCCACAAGGGCGAGGGCGACAATGAACTAGAAGTAGAAACAAACGTCTGTTAATTTAACACATATTCAAAAATAAATTATTGATTTTATTTGACCAGTTCACAATTCGAGACATAATTATAAGTTATATAAGAATATATTATAACAAAGAAGAGAACACGTTATTTAATATAAAATATAACAAACCATCTTCATAGTTGATTTGGTCTGTTTGCTTCTCTCGGAACAACTGATGATTTTACTCTAAACGCGAAATCTTTTATACATTTCTGTCGGCTGGAATTTTAGAAGGTCATAGGCCTGTTTGAATTTAAATAAACATTATAATAATTATGACTATAATTTTATTAGTATTAATAAATTAACCCCTGTATTCAAAGTCTTCCGATTCATTTAAAGTTGCTAATATTTTAAATTAGAATTGTAGGTACAATGTCTCCTAATAATAATTACCAAAGCATCTATGTATTTTCTAAAATATTATTATGTAAAAGAAAAAGACAAAACATTAATTTTGACCTATTAGTCTTTATACATTATTTATAATGTCGATTCTTTGGTTTGGCAATTCTTTTTTTGGGAGTCTCAGTACTTATATATGTATGTCATACTTGTGATTCATTCAAACCGAATCACTTGAATATCGAAAGTAAATTTTTATATGGACATGTAACTTTATAATATAAAGTTAGTAAATTAAGATAAAAGTTGACTTAAGTTTGAATAATTTTTATAATCATAGGTTTCATTTCGATTTCCTTTACTCGGGATATAATTTTAAGTTATTTTTGACATCCTTGTTACCTATGTATGTCGCAGAGCTAAAGGTGAATTTTTAGTATATTAAAAAAACGTAGAATTCTGATATTGAAATAATGAAAAGAAATAATTCGTCATCTCTTTTTATGCACATGTGATATTTATATTATCCATAGTTGCTTCGGATCAATGTTACAATAAATATGTCTTCAATTAAGAGGTCAAGGATCCATTAAAACACTTCATTGGAAACTAAAATAAGGATATACGAATTAGATTTGAATTTGGGTATTTTGGAGATACATTGAAGTTGATAGGTATAAAGTGTAGTTTATTTTATTTAAGTTACTAGCTTTCTGCCCGCGCCTTCGCCCGCGTGGAGTTCGGTTATATCGCGTTTCCAAGAGAACCTTTTCAAAAGTCTGCGATAAAAACTATTCTATGTTCTTTCTCAAGGTCAACTCTATCTTTGTACCAAATTTCATTAAAATCAGTTCAGTAGTTTAGGCGTGAAAGCGTGACAGACAGACAGACAGATTTACTTACACATTTATAATATTAGTAATACTTTCAAGTAATTTGGCGTTGAATTGAAGTAATGTACTGGGCCTAAGAAACACCATTGAACATGATTTAACTTTGATGCCTTTTAATATATATTATAGTTTGCAAAAAATAATTAAAAAAATATAGAAAAGAAAGCTTATTTATAAGAATATATTAATTAATTAGTTTTACTCCATAACAACGACTTTCATGTGAAGGGGTTTTGAGACGGCCTTGTATGGGGCTTTCCCACTGTGCGGCGACGACGACCGACGGCAGCGGCGGCGATGCAGATTACCTATTCGTTTAAAGGAACTTTAACTTCAAAAGCCAATTTTTTTTAATTTGATACACCTAAAACTTCTAAATATGATGTTCCTAGGTTCAGTGGTTAAAATTTTGTATACAAAAAGTTTAGCTTCGTAGTTCCTGTTCCGTTCTGTTCTGTTCGGGAATTCCGTGTGTAGAATTTCACCCCCACGGTGGTAAAAATAACAAACGATTTTAAATTTCAAAAACGCTAGAACAAATGTTTAAATATGTTTTATCAAGTATAGTATGCTTAAATATAAAGTTATATATAAGTATAAGTATGCTTAAAATGCTATAAGTATGCTTAAATATAAAGTTTCATAGTTTTATCTTTTATAATTAAGAAATACCATACAATCTTTCAACCCTTATTTCACCCCCTCACTGGTCAAAATTTCAAAAATGCTAGAACAAATGTTTAAATATATTTTATCAAGTGCTTAAATAAAAATGTTCATGGTTATATCTATTAAAATTAAGAAATTTCATACAAACTTTCAACCCTTATTTCACCCCCTCACTGGTCAAAATTTCAAAAATGCTAGAACAAATGTTTAAATATATCTTATCTAATGCCTTAATATAAAGTTTCATGGTTTTATCTTTTAAAATTAAAATTAAAAATCCCATACAAACATCCCTTTTTCGCAATAAAAGGTAGCCTATGTTTTTTCTCAGGGTCTAAAGATTTTCTGTGCCAAATTTCATCAAAATCGGTTGAGAGGTTAAAGCGGGAAAGCGTAACAGACAGACAAACTTACTTTCGCATTTATCATATTAGTTGTGATTGACTCCCGCCTCGTACCCCAGTGACGCTTACATGGATCCTTCATCGCATGCTTGCTAGCTGAGCGCGATGAGCGGCAACCACGCGACTTTTTTCTAATACTTGCATTTTTAAACTCGTGATATCTTCCGAATTAAATGTCCGAATTGAATAATTCAAAGAGTTATAAAAAGGTATTGAAGCCGTCTTGAATGTAAAGTAATTTATTTTGATAAGGATTAATACTAAGGTACAAATAAAGAGCTTTTTCAAGCGGCGGCATATAAATTAAATTTTTAGAATAAAAAACCGCTTACTGTGACATAACTATAATATTTAGACATATGCTGTCGCGACACTTTTTGTAGATGATGATGAGTTCTATAAAGTCGTAGTAAATGATTTGGTTCTATCATCAATAGTTTTCGCAGCGCACGCGACGTAAGGAATTTTTCAGATCACTTTTTTACACCTTGGGTTACATTATTGGAGTTTTAGTAAGGATACCTAATTTTTATTTAAATGTAATATAGCTTATATTACTCGGGAATAATGTAGCTTTCCAAAGGTAAAAGAATTTTTGAAATCGGTTCAGTAGTTTCGGAGCCTATTCATAACAAATAAACAAACAAATCTTTCCTCTTTATTAATATAGATTACAGGGTTAAAATGAATCATGAAATTCTCTTACATATTAACTACAACAAACGATTGATGTTTACGTTTATGATGTTTGCCAGTAATTATTGGATAACTCTGGACTGTATTAATTAAGTGTTAAATAGCTATCAGCTAATTCAAATTATTCTATTTGAAAAACTGGCTATTAAATTTTTTAACAAGTTATTAAAAAATATAATCCATTAATCAAATAAGAAGTTCAAAGTTTACTCATAAAAAATTGTTAAATAATTCTTTTATCTTCTGCTTCACAGTTGTCTATTTAACGTACGATCCAAATTCTATTGAATAATAATCGGTCAGATAACATTTTAGAAATACATTAGGTAACATTGAATAATAAGGAGGTCGTCCGAATGGATTTTGTTTGTTAATTGTAGAAAAGATTATATAGCCTATAATGTCATGTTTATTCTTGTTTATATAATAGAAAAATAGTTCAATAGAACTATTAAGGAACGAATTAGCAAATGTCAATTTAAATAAAAGAACTCTAAAAGCTAACAAGCGAGGAAAACCCTTAAGTGTTATAGTTATTAAAAGTATTAAGGGACAATATAATATCAATATAATAAGTAGAGGATTTTTGAATTCAATGTTAACTCAGAATCTCATCGGATAACAGTCTATGATAGTTAATATACATATGTGTGCCTGCGACAGGTTTTGATGTAGCAATACATATACACTCACGCAGAGACACGTGATTTTGTCATATATTTACCTAACTAAAAAATTTGTCACTAAAGAAACAAGTTCTTGGATTCTTACTGCTGAATTACTTTATAAGTACTAGGTCAAGGTGCAAGCATCATATCGTTTTATTTATAATCTTAAATTTTAAAACGAATATAAAAATCTTCAAGTTTCCTACGCTTATTGCTTTTGAAAATTTTTATATGAATTCATTCTCACCAAGGATTATAGTATATCGTTAATTTAAAGATGTGATCAATGCATTTAAATACAAATCAAAGAAATAAAATGTGAAAACTAAAATAAATTAATGGCCAATTTATTTTAATAATATTACAATCTGGCTTTTTTCAACTCATATAAAGCAGGCTAAAAGGTCTAGTCGTAGAAACTCGTTGAATAATGATAGCGAAATTATCTGCAACTAATAATAAAAAACATATTTTTTCCCTTTTAGTCATATTAATTTACAATAAATAAAACACGACTTAAATTATGTACACCTACAATCGAAAATCCAAAATAAAAGTCGTTTGTCAAATGACCCCAGGACCCATATCTATAGCTCAGCACAAATATAGCAAGTAAAAACATTAAATTTCCTACTATTTTGTAATTTTACTATTTTTAAGACATTATCTTTAAATATTTATATATCAAAATTATTATAAAAGGGGACCTAACAAGACAGGCAATAAATATTTGAATAATGTGGAAAAAAATCCAGAAACCTGATTCAACTTGTATTAATTTAAATATTTATAAAATGTAATAATTACATTATAGAGGAAAAAGCTACTATATCTTGAATTCGATATTTACAATTAACTTGCCCCCAAATTTAAAATTATTTAAAACAACAAGAATTTTAAGTTAAACATTTGCCAACGACATTAAAAAATCAAATTCTACTTTCCCACAGCTGACGTACTACCCAATATCAAGTACCTACATATTGATAAATTACAAGCACTTCTCAAACGTTAAATCTGATAACTCACTCCATGACCTAAAATAAAAAATATTATAAACACATAAAAAGAAGGTTTGGTAACTCAAATAATATATAATTAATACATTTAAAAGGTCAAACGGCTTAAGCATAACTAAAACTACAAAATATAATAATCGTTAACAGCATACCTTCATGCATAATTTAAAATGTTAAAAATCTTGTCCCGCCATCGTCGCTGTGCTAGACGCAAATAAAAGTGATGTGCTCTTAACCTTTCCAGAGGTCGGGTACGAGCTTTATTTCGTGAAATTATAATTCACGGTCGCCTTGTTTTTTTTTTTAAAGAAGCAACGAACACATACAATCAAGTTCGAATTAAAACTATACCTTATAATACGATTACATATAACATTCATAACTATTAAATAATAACGTGATCTGTATATACATCCAACATTACTTAAATATTTACTACCGATCATTTAATGTCAAAGTTCATATCATAGATACTTCTTAAATGCTGACTGGACTTAGCTTTAACCTACTCTAAAATATTTGAAAACATATATTATTAATATGATTAAACGATGTTTGCTATACATAATTCATTGCAAATTAACAAAATATATGCTTATTAAGTATTCAAGGATTATTTTACGACATTCTTTTGGCATCGATATTGACAATGCTTACAATTATGTGTAATCATGTGGGTATTTGCCCAATGATGAGTTTACATTCTGTATCATAAAGTAAATACATCTTGGATGTGTGTCTACCGACTTACATTGGGAAATGGTTAAAAAATGAGAAATGATTCTTTTCACACATTTTACTAACAAGTTTCTTAACAATTTAACATTATACCAATGGAATATTATCGAACATATTAAATATTCGTCTTCATGCTGTCTAAAATACTAATCGTTCCTGAATTTCTAGTTCTGTATAATTACTGTCATCTCTCGAAACTAAACACATGCCATGTTAGAAACGACCTTGAAGCGTCCACGCTATAACACAGATAGTCAATAACCTATAATGTAACCTTTATACCAAAAATATTTTAACACGTTTATCATCTTTAATTTTTTATTAATAAAAATAAAATATTTTATCTCAATAAAGAGCTTTTTAAGTAAGTATATTTGTATAATATAGCCAAGTCTGATAGCTTAAAGAAATGTTATTATTTTTGTGACGGTCTAATTATTTTAATATTATATCGTCAATGTTTTAAATTTTAATATTTTAATTGGATAACAGTTTTTATTCGCTTAATATATAAGTAAATACTTGAAATTCAATTGACTTCACCGACATCTGAGTGTTTTCACAACTTCGCCCGCCTCCTTTAACCAACAGATAAATAACACTTTCAGTTTCATAATCTATACAAATAATTAAAATATCTTTTTTTGATATTTCAACACAGTATGTATTTATATATGAACTTTAAAATCAAATGACCTTTCAATTTGTTCATCTGTGTTCACATTCTCACTAATCAAATCTTAGATTATAAATAAAGTTTAATATATAGATAACTAGCAAATAGGTACGTTTATTAAAAAGTACCTATTCTATAACCACGAAATGTTTTATATACTCTTTATCTTGTATATTGTTTGTATGTCTAAATTCTAAAAAAAAAAGAAAGTAAGATAACTATTAAAAATATGCAAATACATAATATGGAGGGTTTCCATCACACCAAAAAACAAAGCGAAGTACCTACTTTACTTGTTATAGTAATTTTTGTTTTAAATTACTGTGGATAAAAACAAAATAATATCACTGATTAATACGAAACCCATTATTGAAATTCAGATACTTCTTTATTGCAATTTAAATTGATAAATTAAACATTTCGATACATTATTATGAGTCTTAAAACTCTTATGATTCTTATATTTTAATGAACCACTAAGCAAATAGTTTTTTTTATTAGAATGTTAGAATAATTTTTATCGTCTATATGTAAATACACATCGAATCTTCTCAATCAGGATACGGACGTGGTAACCAGAATAGTTAAAATTTATTCTAAGTCTTCAAGGTTAAGGTTAACATTGAACAAATTACCAGTTTCAACTTAATTTAAATAAACTCAAATATGTCCGATGAAGTCAACAGAGAGATAGCTCTGAATAATTCATGAGGATACAAAATTAACGAACACATTATCAAAAAATATTTAATGAAAACCAGATACAATAAGGCACAAAAAACACAAGAACAAAAATATAAATTGCTGTCGGAGGAGATATTAAATATTTTAAATATAAATATTAAAGTAATACAACACTATTACAAGGTACAAGTAACAACTAGCTTAGATTCATCCTTATACTACCAAGTAAGTCTCATCACGTGATCGGTCTTTCTCTTGGAAGATTTGATGAAACCAAGAAACTGTAGTTCAGCTACCGCCCGTTGAAAACGAAGTCTGCGAATATATGAAGAGTATTTTTGAATATAACATTATGATATACGCCATTTTTATACATAATCTTTTGTATGCTATTTTTTAATCGTAATCTGGTTGTATCTTCTATCAGATGTATCAGAAATTCCTGTTTCTCTTTAATGATTGAGTCGAAAGGTCTTTGAGGAAAATTTCAAATATATCGTTGCGACCATGTAGGGGGCTCAGACTAAGGCAAAGTATTGTTAAGAAGTCTGACAGAACCTCGTCAATAGTACTTATATCTGACCGTCAAGCCCGAATGAATTACAGTACCCTAATTCATAAAACAAACCTGTAAACTTCGATTTTGGATCAAAGTGTTCAACTAAATGTTTCTTATAAATTCCGTTATTCGGTTTACTCAATTTACGAAGTCCATTTAAAGTCCAAAAAATGTTAGGTATCCCTACAAAAATGCTTGTCATCACTAAAAAGATATTATACGTGTAATCCATATAACATTGGACTCCTCGTAAACGTTTATTCGAATAAACTGAAGTTTAACCTAAACTAGGATCATTATTCGGTTTTATTTTAGTAAAAAATTAATGCTATATAAGAACAATAAGTAACCGTCAAAAATTATTAGGAAGTTTAATACGACACGGCGACCTGACTGTGCTATTGGTTAGCCAATACAATCAGTACAAATGTACAGGTTTCTGCAAGGCCGAAAATATATCCGGTATTCCGATTATGTCGCAGTCTAAAGATGGCCATGGGCGACAAATAATACAATTAGATGAGCTCACTACGCTTTAGCATAGAAATAATGCGGAACCAACATTGTCATCAAAACCAATACTTGAGGCACTCGTCTTCCTCGACCTAACAAAAGTATCAAAACAGTTTCACAAACAGTATGGTCCTTATCACATTAAACCCAATACTTATTCTATACTTATACCGTTTACATGATATGGTGAATGAAATTCGTAATGAATCTAATACGTACAAATTGGTTTTCTCTTGGTTTACATTCGAGATGTTTACCTTCTATTCATCGATCGTCGTATAAACCATTTTGAACCTTATGTACCGTGACATCAAGACATTATACTTTGGTTACCTCGTTTTTATTAGGTTCTATGAACTATTACTAAAATAATTCATAATGACCTGTGCTTACTTCAAGCTTTCTTTTGGTTTACACTCGACGTGTTTACCTCCTATTCTTCGATCGTTGTATTAACCATTTTCAATCTAATGTAACGTGACATATTTACTTAACACATTTTTGTTTTCTTCTTTTAATTTTATATGAAGTGCTACTAAAGTAATGCATTATAAATTATTGAATTTCCCTCTCGGTTTAAACTTAAGGAGTTTACCTCCTACTTTTATATCATTTGGACTATTTTAAATGTAATGTACCATGGAACCATATATACTTTATGTTAGGTACCTATTGAGCTTACACGAACAATTTCTAGTTTAATACATAATGAATCTTGCTTACTGTATTTTTGTATCTTCTTCAGTAGGTATATCTGGTTCAGGTTGTACTACAGCGGTGAAAGCCTGCAACCAGTCGTACACATTGATATGTTTCCCGCACTCTCTATGCAGCTTGTAAGCTATACACACGTCCGGCATACTGGCAACTATTGAATCTGTTGACTGTATGTTGCAGCATGAACACTGAAAAAAATATAGAAGATTGCTATCATATATTCATATAGTTTGGAAATATGTGTATATTTTTCAATGATAATAAATTATAAGAAAATTTAATCAATTTTTTAGAAAAATTAGAATATGTCCAAGGCATCATATTATTATACTTGCTTAATTTATATAATATATTCTAAGTAATAGCAATATTACAATGAGGACTAATTAGGAAAAAAATACTATCAAATTATTGCAAGAATTTGTTTTATATATATAATATTTTCTAGGCAATAACTATAAAAAGAACTAGGTCAAAATTTAATTTCAATATATACAAAAATAGGACAATCCAAAATAGACATTTTCGTGATTGAATCTGTATTGAAAGCATTAACTTATAATTCTGTAAAGAAATCTGTATTGAAAGCATTGACTTGAATATTTGACTTCATTAGAAATCAATAGTTAACAACCTGTAAGTAATGCGCTGGGTTACTCAAAGCTGTGTGTAATGCGCCGCGCGGTGAACCGACGATTTGTTTCCTTACACTAGCTACATCACCAAAGAACATGATCTCATTAAACGTCTGTTTGTATGGAGGCTGGAGACCTTTTGAGAATATTTCTTCCAAATAACTAACGAATCTCGAACGTATCAACTCGAACTCTGAATGTATTTTTTCAACCCTGGTAGCTCTTAGTAACTTCTAGAATTTAAAAAAAAATATGAACTAGCAAATTCGATGATGATTAATAGTTTTATTAATTTCAGTATTTTATTTACTTCTTTTAATTTATATCTGCTGCCAGGAACATTTTCTATCACCATATCAACATCTGTGTTTGCTTCTGAACTGAATACAGTAGATTCGCTGTTCGCATTTTCAATTTGCCTCAAAAAAGTCATCATATGAACTCTGACAGACTTAGCAAAGTTTAATCCAAGATCATTCATGGCTACATTTGTGTTATTCTTAGTTGGAGTTGAACGAAGAGGCTTCAAAGAATCGTTTTTCATCAAAGAATTGATATCTTTCAACGCATTTTTTATGTTGTCCACTAATTTCATTTGTGATTGGAAACTTATAAGTTGCATGCAATCTTTGAACTGTTCTGTACTTGTTATATGTTCCATTGAACATTTTGCGTAGATCTCCCGAATCTGAAACATTCAAATTCATATAAAAATTACGTTATTTCTAATATAATTAATTACATACAAACCAAACTCACCGTTTTACCAAAAATATTTTTAGGTAAATCCTTAACAAAGTTGAAGAGCAATCTCACACATAAATAAAAACTATGAATATATTCATGCAGTTTGTGCATTTCTTTTGACAGGACTTCCCTAAAGAAGTTATCATCTTCAAATAAACCAATTTTTGTTTTGCAATCTTGTACTTCTAGAAATGGTCTAAATGACAACAATTGTCTAATACTCTCCAAGTCATTGGATGATAGATTTGCTACGGCTGAATCAATTTGATCTTGACTACAACAAAGTGTTTTAATATTGTCCCCATAATAATGCTCCATCATACAATACTAAAATACATAAAAGATTTAAATTATATACTAGCATATACAGGGTGACTGGTGAATTACTATCAATATTTAAGGAGAATACTCGATACATGATTCTCATTCGAATTATGTAAAAAAAATAGGTACTTAATTTTTGACCAAATTTCCGTATAAATAAATAAAGTGTTGACACGTTCCAAGTGTTCCAAGTGTGGACGCGTGCGGTGGCATGCTGATACAACACTACGCCGCGCACGCGTATGTGTGTGTGTGTGTGTGTATACCTAATCTGTAGGGTGTGCACACGATGCGTAATTAATTACATAACTTTTGGTTAACTTTACTTAGAAGTTTATTAATATTTAATGTTATATTAATTTTTATTTTGTCATATATGATCGTCAAATATCACATCCTCAAGTATCGATAGTAATTCACCAGTCACCCTGTATATTTATTTGTATATACAATAAAATGTTACCTTAATACTCTGTATTAGTCCCGTAACAGAAAAATCATAGAAAAGAAACACATCTGTTAACAACTCGAAAGCTTTACCAGATAAGTGGAATGGGCTATTATGGGTTAAGAAAATGTTTTCTAAGACCTGCAAAAATTACAAAATGAATTATAAACTATCATTACTATGATATATTGTCAAATCAGACAATCACTGTACTTTTATACTTCTGTTAATAAAATTACACTTTATGCTAACTATCATTGTTTTGGATAAAGAATAAGTGTAGTTATACATCTACTAATGGAAAACAACTAATATTGCTTTGGAAATAATTATAATGTAAATTTTCATAAAAAAGTAGATTGGAACTTATGTATTATATAAATTAAGTTGTATTACAATTTTACTAATCACTGTATTGTATGGGCTTACATTAAGAAGGCTGTACATCAATTAGTAGCATGAAAATAAAATTGGCAGATTAATTAATAAAATCATTACAAAGTAGTTTTTTCTATTTCTTAAAATTTTCACCAGTTGCTAATATATATCAAATGATATTCACCCAAACAATAATATAAAATAAATTTAAAGACTTACTTGATTCATATAAACAGGAGAGGGATGCGAGTGAAATACTCTTATAAGAAGTTTAGATGAAACATGGTATGGAAAAGATTTGTGTAAGGCAGATACAGAAGTGGCAACACCAAATATTAACACTATAGGCAGAGATGAATATGAACTGAAATCATAGCATAAATAGCTTTAGTATTATATGAGTCTAGTCTTCCAAAATGAGTACATTATTAAGTAACAAATTCACCTTATAATCATCACAAAGTCTTGCAAGATGTTGCTATTGAAACTTTCGAAATCAGGCAATATTATAACTAAGGTTCTCTGCTGTATATGCTTTGATTTTCTTGGTGATATATCAATATACTTGTTCTTGTACCAATTGAGAAGAGATCTCATTGTACATTGACTTTTCTTAAGCTTTGGTTTATAATCCATTTCATCGGATTCATCAACTGAATTGTCCTGAAAAATGTTTAGACACTATTTTAAGTATAAAAATTGTCACTTGTATTGAGATAAGTCTTTTATGCTTTGAAGTAATTTGGATAATCTGGATTTTTGAGTTACATTTGTTTTGGTAGTAATTGTTTCATGTAGCCGTTAAATCTAACTTGTACATAAAGTTCTTGAGATTCTTGAATAACTTGGAAGCAATTGTAGGATATGCAAACCATCAAATGTTACACATTAGTATTGAAGTACTGTATCTAGCAATGACATTATATTATGAAATTTACTTTCACCTAACACAAATACGTGTCATCATCATTTCTCTTTATAGAAATGTGTTTTGTGGAATTAATTTTATGTACATCATATTATAACTATATAATAAATGTCATTTAGTGAATGTTTCTGTACTTATTTGGACTTGTAATATATTTTATATCATACCAAAACATCCTGACCCCTTATCAACTGCCAAACAACATTCTCGACCAAATTTTTTAAAGTTTGAGCATCTTGAGAGTTCACAAGAGCTACATGTGGTGTAACATCCTCTCTGAAAAATATAAGTTTATTTTCTAAAATATAGGTATTTATATTTTTTCAATATATTCTAATATTAAAGAAGGTTTAAAATGTATAAAACGTTAATAAAGTATAAACATCTACTTAAGTAACACAAAAAGTTTAAAAATATGATTAATTTACGATCTGATAGGCACTACATTAAATAATAAAAAAAGTAATCATACTTATACAGATAAAGTATATATAAATGAAAGCAAAAACTATAATTAACTTTTTATATAATCCTTTTAAACTTCAAGATTATATTAAATATGAATACAATAGTTTGTATTTAGATTTAAGTTAATTAATAAAGTGCTTACATATAATTGAGTGGTACAGAAAAAATATACATATAATATTAAACCATTTTAAATGTAATAATGAGTATATATGTTACAAAGCTCTTATAATCACATGAAAAGGTTTGTTAAGTTAATAATGTTGTATTTTATTTTCTCCTATGTTTACAATATGTTTCACTACATGGAATATAACTAAGAAGCAAGCTTATTAGCGAGGCAACTCAATGCAAACTTGGTAAAATATAGTTTCTTACCTGATTTTATTGATAAGAATTGCAAATTGATTAAAATGATCGGGTTGATTTACTCCAGTCAAAAGGGTAGCACTGGGAATTATGCCCTCATGTGTATTATATTCATTATGTTCACATGATTTCACATAATTAACTATATCATTCACTAAGAAACTGTATGTGTTATTGTGCAAGTCCTAGGGAAGCAACAAAAAACAAAAATGCAAAATAAATAGTGTTTTAAAGCTAAGAAATTAACTAAATAAATACTCTTTATTAAGAGTATGTTTCTACAATGCAAACGTTACCTTTATTTGATTTTCTATTCGTTCCCAATTGCATTTGTAAGTGGTGTACCATGGTTCATTAGTAAACAATGCTTCGAAGGGATTTCGCTTGGTTTTCTTCTTTGCCTGTTTGGTTTTATTGAATCCATTACTGAATAGAAATACTCCCTGAAAAAGTTTTTTTAACGACTTATATTTGTTTTGTTCATGTCATTTTTACACATTTCGAATAACTTATTTACCTTTGAAACAGAAACTGTTGACTCCATTAAATATTGGTAATATTATATACAGAGGCACTTTACAGAATTTTGTAGTAGATATATATTATACAATATTAATTAATATGTACCTGGGTTAGGTAGTCAATTAAATTTTAATATCTACGAGTATTTTACTGTGCATTAAATCGAATCACGATTCACGTTTTAAATTTCGTTAAATTCAAGCTGTCATTTGTCAAAATCTAACTGGCAATAATATCTTGCGTTTAATTTTAACACCCTGCATATTAAACACAATATTTAATATGACAATTAAATTAGTCTATAATTTTACTCTGAAATTAAAACATTACCTTACTAAGCAGGTGCTTAGACGGGTATTATTGTGAGAAAATAATAATAAATGAAACTCACAGGTACCTACCGAACTTTCTCTTATTGTCACCGACTAAGCGCTTTTTGTTAGTAAGCTTCTAGTAGGCTGCTGAACATTTGAGGTGAACCGAACGACGTTCCTGTAACATGTCTTATTTAGTCCAAGGAGCAACAACATAAAACAAAACCAGTGCTGCTCTGACAAAGCCTTAATTCCCTACTTTAGTAAGTAGTTTAGTATGAGTAAGGATTAATTTTATCTTATAGGTTTTAATTCTGAGATTCGAGACCGACATATTGGGCAAACTTGTCAACTTACTTTTTATGGACGTGAATGATTCCTTATATCAAAAGATGTTATTACCTATATTTATGTATAGTGTATCATATACTTTTTGATATCTTCGATTCCATCACCGACTTTTAGAAGAAGTATAATACATATATATAATTACTCTTACCTACGTGTCGTATTTTATTCTACGTTTCGTTTGCCTTTACCCAGCCGTGATCTCGTTTAATATGTTATATAAATATTTAGACCCAAAAAATGGAACCAATTTATTAACGAACTACAGTGCAACCTTAATATAACGTACCTCAATATAACGAACTAGCTTTTGCCGCGACTTCGTCCGCGTGGTATAGTGTCTTCCGGCAGATTTTTGGTTCTTCCCACATAGTTCCCGTTCTTACGGGGTTTTCGGAATGGTCGAGTTCCCGTAGAATTTTCAGGATAAAACCTATGTCTTTTTTTATTCACAATGATACTTCATAAGAGTACTTCTTAACCAACAACATTTTTATTTGTTTATTTGAATAAAGATTAATATTATTATGTTGATACAACTTAAACAAATTATTTCGACCAAATTAGGTACCATAAAAACGGTTTTTGTGAGTTAATCTTAAAAGATAGACATACACTGTCGCGGACTGTTTTTAAGATCATTAAAAGAGCTATTATTCTTTAATACATATTTTTTGTGTATCTTGAACCGTTTTACCGGCGCACGCAACGGAAGGCTTCAAAGATGAAATAATTTCTCCCGTTTTTTACACATTTACCACTATATCTTTGCTCCTATTGGTCGTAGCGTGATGTTATATAGCCTACAGCCTTCCTCGATAACTGTACTATCCAAAACAAAAAAAATATTCAATTCGAACCAGTAGTTTCGGAGATTAGCGCTTTCAAACAAACAAACTCTTCAGCTTTATAACATTAGTATAGATTTTTCGTAATCCCCTTAAATTGTCCATACGAGTCAATATTTTCTTGTTCCCCTCCGATTTGTCATATCGAGTTTGCACTGTATATTGTGCAAAAAATAGGTTTAGGTAATTTAAAATCATCGTCATCATTTCAGCCGAAAGACGTCCACTACAGAATGTAGATCTCCCCCGAGGATCTCCACGACGACCGGTCATTTGCCACCCACAATCCACATCCAGCGGAATCCCGCAATCTTCACCAGATCGTCGGTCCACCTTGTTGGGGGCCTACCCATGCTGCGTCTTCCGGTTCGTGGTCGCCACTCGAGAACCCATTAGCCCCATCGGGCATCGGTTCTACGAGCAATGTGCCCTGCCCACTGCCACTTAAGTGTTGCAATTCTTCGAGTTAGAAACTCCGAGCATAGCCCTTCCATTGCCCTATGAGTGATCTTAAGCTTTCTTATAAGGCCCATCGTGAGCGGCATTTCATAATAACAGACATTTTAAAAAAATAATATGAAATAATAAGAATGACGCCCTTATAGTTTAATTTAATATTTCCTTACAGACTCTGTGTACGTGTCTTCCTTATGTAGGTGTGCAGTTTTGTCTACTATGTTTATTTACACCGATGGAACATTTAAATTATTTACAACTATGTACCTATAATAAAATATTGTGACAACCGATAAAACTAACTTACAGTACATACAGTAGATACATTCATAGAGACGAAATTTTGCCTGAGACTTGCAACCCAGGTGTAGGTTTAAATGGCCCCTATCTAAAGCTGATTAAACGCTCAATTCCGCCATCCAAGCTCCTTCCTCTACCTAACCAAATTTGAAAAGAACCTACGAGGGCAACCTTCGAAGCACGTTCCAAGAATGAATTGATGTTAGTTCTGGACAGGCCCAAGTGTTTTAGTAGGTTGTAGAATGATTAATGATAGCCGTTATACCTCTTGCTCCCACTGCTACTGCGTATAAATCCACGACGAAACTATTTCTAGTGAGTTCGTTAGTGAGCTCCTACACATGCTAGAAATCCACAATCCTAAATCAAATCAAAATATCCTAGGAAACAACGAGAAAGTATAGTACCGGCGCTATTTTGGTAAAGTTTACCGTAGTGGGGATAAGTTTGCTCAAGTGGTGGTCATTGTTGTTTCTTATCTACAGTAAAAACTCGTAACAGTAACAAAAACAATGAGTCGCAAGTGCTCGCAAGAGTACTAGAATGCGAACATTCAATCACGAGCTCAAAATTGTTATTTGAGTCCTGTTTGATACATAAGAATAGTATTCTCCCATAAATCGTCTCTCTCCAAGTTACGTTCCGTCTACTATAATGAATAGAGGCAGTTGATATGTGGTATATTTTGTAGGTCACATTTAAAATTTATGCAAAACTTTAAGTATACTTTTAGGTACTATTTTAAATAAAAGTAAGTAACTAACAATTGATAACATAAATATATGTAGAGTTGATAAATGTAACAATAGAAAGTAACATGAAACACAATGCTTAATGGTAGCTGTTATGTAGATACAATTAATTGAAACATCTTGTCTGCCTTACATCTCTTGCAAAACATAAGATGGGTATTATTAAGTTTCTAATAATAATCTATTGTAATGATGTGAGTGACAAATATAGCTATTTCAAAATAACCAAGCAGAAAATAGATATATATATATGTTTATGCTTTTTACGGTTAAGAAAAAAAGTTTATATTCGTAACAAAAACATCGTTTATTTTGACACATTATAAGTTGAACATTTTGTCGTTATATTATTACAAAATGATCTATTGTATAAACAAATCCATGTTTTCATTCATTGTTTATTCTAAGCGTGTTAGAAATAATTAAGTAAGTACATAATTTGCCAAAGAGAATTAAATACTAAAATTCATATGACAAATTAGCATTTTAGATAAGCTCTTCGAATTTTCAAAAAGTAATGAGTAGGAAAGTTATTGGTCTCTGTAGATAGCCGTTTTAGAACCAACTTGTTAGCTGTTTATATTTTACAAATTATTGTCAAATCTTTACTGACTATTTCATATTTTTCTGTAACACACTATTTTATTATTTAAAAAAAAAACTAAGTACCATAGTTTAAGCTTATATTACCAATACAAATAAAAAAAACTAGACCAATTTAAACTCGACTTTTAATTATCTTCCTTCATTTATTATTTATCTATGTTAAGACAACAATAGGGCGTTGAATAAATAGTTAGAAGTATATTTACATGATCACAAAACATTTTAAGTAACTTAAAAATTACAATACTATAAGTATTAACCACGGAACAAAACCATTGAAAAGAGGACAGCATAATAAACTTAGATAAAAATATACGTATCATTGTATACCTAATCACCTAATATATACATTTTAATATAATTACAGATGACTCATCTACCATTGTTTCCAGTAATGAAAATCTTAGTAGATATAGAGAAAGTAAAAAAAAAAACAAGCTTATTTCAACTATTTCGTTAGCCATTGAAAACTGTTAAGTTTAAAATTTTTCACTTATTACTGATAGACCTACTAGAAAATAATCGAAGAAAACAATAACGAAATAACGTGCACATTTGCGTGTACATTTTAAACTCAATCTATTTGTATTATCTGGCGGAGAATAATTTGACATCAATTTTACGTTATATTTACTTATTTCCTCTAATAATTTTTCGACTTGACCTTAGCAGTTAGGTTATAGCCATATTGGCTATGACTGCGTCACCGTGATGGGAGCACATTATAGAATACTACTTTGTATAACTGGAATTAAATGTCAAAGACATAATATACCTACATGGTCTTTAAAGTCGATGTGAATTCACTATATGAATAATTAGCAATACATATCATACAGATATGAAAATGAGTTCCAATATTATTAATTCACTAAAAATATTTAACAAAACACATCATCGAATCTACGAAGGAGGTTGCTAGTCGAACATATACATAGTTTTTTATTTATATAAATAATTATACGTCGTAATTGAATAAATATATTAAATTTTCGTCACTGTGCAGGTGAACGTGGCGTTAGCGCGGTTTCTTCACATGGTGAATGACGTTCTTCTTCAGTGTTAAATTTATATTCTCTTTCACCAACTTGGTGTTCAGAGCCTGACGGAGTGGACCGGTCGTTTTGGTTAGCAGTTGCCGCTTCTAAAGGAGGGCCTGTCGGTCCAAACGACATACCCTCAGTGCTATATGCTACATCACCAGTGCCCACATACTCCGAGGGTTGGTAGCCGTAGCTGTTCAAACTGGAAAACAAATAAATTAAGTTAATTATGATTAAGAAGCCAGATAGAATTTATTATTTTAGAGATTCTTCATTTTATAACCATGCATTTGGTCCCTTTTGATGTCTTATTTACACAGACCAGACTTTTTTTATCTCATCAAGAGATATTGATAAAAATATAAATATACGAGAGAACCGTAGTGTAGCGTTACAAGTATATAATATAAGGACGAACACAGTAATTTAGTTTGATGTTATCAAAATTACTATTTTTTTATTTTTACAGCATAACGCTGCTGTTTACGTAACATGTCAATTAGGGGGCTAGTAAATTAATTATACACATACCCATTCGGCCAATACGAAATATCCTCGATTGTGTGGTGAGCATATGGCGCATACGCATGCTGATAGTACGGGGAGTGATGTTGAGGGGGAGTTTCGTATTGCAGTGGATACAGCGGCGCAGGTGCTGTAGCGGGCGCCGTACTGCTCGTTGGCGGTGCCGATGCGTACTCGATGGGTGCAGGGTACGCATGCGGCGGGGTGCGGTAAGGAGCGGGGGAGACGTTCGGTTGAGGGGAACTACCGCCTTGTGCTGTCCAATAACCGCTGCTACTAGCCCAGGTGTAACTGCCGCTGCTGTTAGCTGCGGCTACTGTATTACGCTCACTGCTGCTGTAAGTTGCTGAAAATAATGAAATAATATTTTTCTTTAAACAGAAAGTTTAATCATCATTTTATTTACCTAACAATTTTCTTTCAGTTCCCTTCCCCTATTAATGCACTATTTGGAGGGAAATTATATTTATGTTTGCCATTTTGTTGGTCAGATCAAATTAAAATCGTGTAATTATTTTAAAAAAATTATACATTGACATAATATATGCAACAAGCTAGCCAAATAATACTTCAGATAGTCCAATTTCACATCATAACATAACTACATATAGTGTTTATATTTAAACTCTAAAGTTTCTGCAAGCCGAATGTAAAAACCTCTTCAATTATCTTATTGGCTTAATTTTCATTAATAATTCTTCTAGGAAAATTAAAATTATAAATAATATCTACTTTTCTTTGAGACTCCCGGGCCAAATGAAAATGATAAATAATAGCGCTTACATCAATATACAATTGCTTACCATTCGGTTAACGTGAATATTTCTTAGCAATTCAAAATAAAACACCCAATTATTTTCTTGCCAATTAGTAAAAACTACACGTGAATTACTTATAAATTAATCACGGAGCTATAATACAATGATTATATCTTCCAACACTCTATTCACGTTAATATCTTAGACGTGTTGTGAACTAAAAATATCTATTTAGCAATAAGAATAAAAACGAGTCAGTATTATAGGTTAAAATTGATTGAAACTTTAATACAAGAGCCAAGAGGTACTCACATGGTGGAGAGAGAGTTCTAGGACGTGATGGCGGCCGAGGAGGGTAAGGAGCTGGTCTTCTTGATGAAGAGTTACTGCTGCCATACAAAGACTGTGAAGTCACGAACCATCCGCCAACTACAAATATATTAATGAGATGTAAGATTATAACATCTAAGAGATCTCGTGTGCCCGTTATCACGGTTGCGGCATGATAACCGAAACGTCGGGAGTATGTGTTTTTTTAAATTATAAAATACGCGTAGTTATCCAGAAATATTAGTTTCATTTATCCAATATATACCAATAGTATTGAAGGACTACAAAAATAAACAACCTTTAGATCAGATGTTAAATATTTTTTATATCTGGTTTAACCATCCTTATATTACCTTAAAAATGTTTCTCATCATGTTCTAAGACATGTTGAGTCACATTGTTCTCTTTAAGGACAAACCAGAATAAATAATTGAAAACTACGCTGAGTATATTACTAACGCTTTTTCAGACACGTATGAAAAAATAACAAGTATTATAAGTATAAAATTTAAAACATGTAATAAATAAAATACGATTTACAAACTTAACCTCAAACTTAAAATGTGGCTTCGATAATTAAACTAATGATCATAATTGATGACGAATTATTTGTTTTTGTGTTCTTTTGTTACATAAAAACATTTTCATTGTTATCAAATTAGAACAATCAACATTTTAGAACACGTTTATAAAATAAAATGTTCAAAATTATTTAACAATTGAGATATACATATTTTTATTAGCTGTTAATTTCGAGGTCCCGTTTCTGTCGCTATAACTTAAAAATGTACTATAGCTTTATTTATAACTAAACATTATATTTGAGTCTTGAATGATCACAAACAGTAATTACCTATATTTAAGACTTTTCCGAGTATTCATTTAAATGAAGCTAATATTTTAGGATTACTTCGCGTGATCATGGTCCTCGGTTCACGGTTGCTGCAAAGTAGCCGAAACGTCGGGAGTATGTATGTAGTTTATAAAAATAAAATACGCGAAGTAATCTAAAAATATTAGTTTCATTTAAATATAACTAAGAGTATTTAATGTATTACTTACATTGAGGATATTGATGAGGTGAAGAACTTTGCTGCGGATAATGTGTCCCAACGAAATCTCTCTGGTAATAACCTTCAGGGCGTTCCTTTGCATCTAAGAAAGCCTTGGCAAAGGGATTATATTTTATTTTAAGTGACGTCACTTCTTCATTCTGATAGGCCGTCACAGCTATGAACTGTGTTTCGGGAAACGGATATGTCATGATACGACGAAGATCCGTACCGACTTTCACTAGGTGTACTCTTGGCTCGTATTTGTGCAGAGAATTCAGCATTATCTAAAAAATATAATATTATCGGTTGAATAATTTTGGCATAAAAAGTCAGTGTTGTCAGAACTAACAAGATTAGAGAGTTTTAAATAGTATCTAAATTCCAAAATAATATCTATAGGGTAAAATAATCAAAAAAGATAAACAAAACATATAACAATACACACACTTTTTATGTAAATTATGACTGTTAAGCACACGATATGTGTAATACAATTAAATATCTATTAGGATATTAAAATATGACCAATAGCATCCGTAAATATAGCGGAGAGACAATAATTATTACAAATGATAGTGGGTACATGCAACCGCTAAATAGTTAGTAAAGCTACAGATTTCACACCGAGCCGTCAACATATGGATCTGGATGTATCAGATGTTTGCTCTCATATTCATTCGCACCGTGCTCGAGCGTGAGAAATTTCCTGAAGTGGCGAAAGCCCCGAAACCGTAACTATAGCACCTCCGTCTAACATGCTTTCTATTACTAAAAAAATTTCAATTCCATCAGTTCTCGGTACTGTTAATTATGCTCCGTTTCGACTGATGAATACAAAGAGAGAATCGACCGTACAAATAAAGAAGCATCGGTAAACGAATACTCTATACCGGATAAGTACTGTAGACAAAGGTAAATGTTATTAAAGATATCACTATAAATATCATTGTTTGTTATCAAATAAACTCCACGGTGAGTTATTGACACTGTCACGTAGTTTTCATTCAAATTAGTGAATAATTATTTTAGACTCATTAATTATTAAGCGTGCAAGACGTATAAGATTGCTACCTGACAATTTAATTACCTGTGTATTTTATCGTTACGGCTCAAGTATTTATAATTTTACGGAAAATCTCCAAAAAAATGTAGTTTTCAAAATGTATGCCAATAAATTTTGCTTTAAAACAACGAAATTTATGTTTTTATTTTCTATCATAGTTATAACATGATAAAATAAATGTTTAACGTTTAATTGAATTTTTGGTACCCTACTGCATTTCGTGAGTAAAAAATAAGAAATCTTCAGCAATCGTTCATGATGTTTAATCTAGAGATCACTTTCTAGACACAAGTTCTTGCAAATCACGATCTCTTTCGAAAATGATGGAATTTCAAAAAGAAACTGATTGTAAATAGTGTACCTGTCCATTTCCGTTGGTTTTGTTCGTCAATTTAACTTTAGCAAATGATATTGGTTCCTTCATCCAGTGAGCTCCGAAATTAGGACTTTCCGGGTGTATGTAGATTGCATTAGATGGTGGAACTTCTGCTTTACCACCGGGGACCTAAAGAAATTGTATCATTATAAAAATATTCTTATAAGAACAGATTTAGATAAGGGTCATTCTACAATAATAGTTCTACTCGCTGTCGACGACATATTTCACATAGCATAATTAATAATATTTTGTTCCTAAATCGTTAAGTTAAACAGCTCACAATGTTTTATAAAGTATGTGATTGTGCATCGGCAATTTTCTTGAAAATCATGAAGCAACTGTTTCAAAAAGGATATAAAACTGCAATAGTCGTTTTCAAAGAATCTTTAATTAATTGTTTTTTTTTTCTTCACTTACCCATTCTCCGTTAACATATTTCCAACGGTGAGTGTCCACTTGTACAAATTCGAGGAGAACGGTATACATGGCCGTCGGGTCCAACCCACTGGCAGTAACTTTTACAACGGGAAACATACGTCTAAAACAAAACACAGTACTTCACTCACAATACCAATACTTTATTTTATGATCAAGATAAAGAAGCAAAGGACGCTTCCATTCCGCCTTTCCGTAAACATGTAAAGGAAGTTTTATTGGAGGTTCATTTAATGATATAAAATTACTAACTATATAAGTGTTGAGTTTTATTGTCTTAGAAACGTTTTTTTCCTGTGCCTTTTAATGTCACCATTGAACTGTCAACTAATTAAATAAAAAATGTTACCTGAAGATCGAAGTTCAAGTTCTTAGTGAACTGACGATCTTTATAACATTTATATAATAACCTTTGTATCTACAATGAATATTAATTTAATTTTTTTTTTTTATATATTGAATAGAAGTATAAAAAGTACAGCATCGACTAGTAAATACATAAAAAAATTGGACTGAAAACTTTTTATCAAAATAACAATGCATTGTTATATCGAAGTATAAATTACATATTTAAAAGGCAATAACTTCGATTGTTTTGAATCTAAATGTCCATGCTCTATTATTCTTTAAAGTGGGTAGGTTACTATTATATTAAAAAGAATTGATTGTCTCATTTTGTTATACTTTGGTTTTTCTGTTTCGATTGAGAAAACTGGAGGATCCTTTTCTTAATATTTCATAAAAAGACCATGAAACTAACCACCAAAATCTCTTTTTTACGTAATATTAAAATAAATAGTTCTTATAATCAGATTGCTATTATTGTGTGAATCTATCGAAGACCATTAAATAGATGCTTGACGCTCTACAAGATATCGTTTGTTTTTATTTTTACATCCCCTAATTAAAAAACACTTTTCAATAAAAAAAATACTCCAGTTGTACGACGAACAATATCAACCAAGTAGTGGTTGAATGTAATTTCTTTCCATATATCTGAATTCTTGATACGATTAAACAAAAATAGGTCAAAATTTAAAAAGAAACTATATAAAAATACCTAGCTTTTGCGAATAAAATATTCTTATACAAAATATAAAGTATAACTCTTGTTAAATCTTTTTCAATGTTTTCATAATAAATAAATGCAGAAACAAACATTGTAAGATATGAAATAACTAGATGAAAAGTCCGTTAGCGTTTGAAGGGTAGAGCGTGGCCAGCGTGGTTAGACCTACGTTAATGAGTAAGACCTACAGTGTTAATAGATGAAAACTGACCGCCCTCAGCACTCTGTTAGCACTCGCGAATGTTACTATACCATTTTTGTATAATAATTCTGTAATAATCTTATTTACGAACTGAATTATATCATATATATATTCTTCCATACAAACAATTACTAACTACCAAGTGGGTAGTTGAGTATTTCGTTCAGTAATTTCAAATTACATTTAAAATTTATTAAAGCATGAACTATTATATATAACTATTTCTATTCCTTTGATGTACAAATACATATTATATTATGAGAACTCGAAAAAAATATACTGTACTGAATATAATTTATCTTAAATACTCATTTTTATAGTTCAAGGAATTTTAATTTATAAAACGGAGCGAGTTAATTATTCTTTACACATTGAACATGTTTAATGCTCCGTTTAAATATACAGTAATCGTTCTTGAGCTATAAACAATATTGTAAGGTATATTGTTCGATTTTATTCTTTGCTCATTTGTTTTAATGTAGTTTTATTAAATGTACGTTTATAAATAGTAAGTGATTCATGAGACAGAACACAATAGAGACGAACAGTGAAGTTCAGTATTAACACTAAGTACCAGTCATTAACATTAACATTTTAGTTTGTATTTTTATTCGGCATATTTGCATCATACAATACATTTTTTTTGTCTTCATTAATTACTGAATATCTTCACGTTAATGCAAATCGACGAACTTTTAGAAGCAAAGCTTTACCCCCAATAGCTCTAAATAATTTATTCTAAGAACTACTACCAATGTTTGCAAATCGGTTAGCTACAACCACAAAAGATAAGTTGAACTAAAATCACTCTTACAGTTTTTCCGTATTTGAACAAGAAACACATACAAAACTACAAACTAATATAAATATAAATATTAGTAAATTTAGCAATCATATATTAGTCTTAGTTCAACAACCAGTTACTTCAAATGATTTTAGCCACCAATTCCTTTTTTATATCACGCTATTAAAGTCTTTGATAAAAGAAAGTGTAAGCTTATATAAAAATGTACTTAATTTCTTTTCTTTCCCTTATCTAACTTTTGCAAAATAAATAGATTTAATTCCTAATATTTTGACTATAACATGTAATGGCAGATTATTATTAAGTAAAAAACTTAAATGTTTATAACATAAATTAAATACAAAGAGGGAATTTACTTTCGAATAAAATTATGTCTTAAATTTCGGGATAACCTTTTTTTTTAATAATAAGCAACCTTTAAAGTTATTATAAAATGTTGAATAATTTATGAAATAAAATTCAGGTGGGCTGTTACTGGATGGTCTGAACAACATATGCCCGGGCGTTCCAGACATTTCTAAGTTCGCTTCACTGACATGTGTCTAACAAAACTTGTTTCGATTCACCCGGTCATACTTTAGCGAAATAGCTACATGAAATACAAATATTTTGGATTTAGTATACACAAGAATATAAACGTTTTTAATTTATGAAAAGTTTTATGACTTAATCTAGTTTTGTTAAAATTTCTTTGCAATGATTAATTACTATTGATAAAGATCGTGTTGTAGAGAAAGGAATGAAATATTTATTTTTCAATATTTAGTCCGTCTATTTTTATTTCTTATTTAAGATATGAATAGTATAAGATACATTTCAATAAAGGAAAATTTATTAATTTTGTGTCTCTTTTATATTTATTTTATTATTAGAAGACGTAGATAAGTTACATGCTCATGAACGATTATTCGAAACTGAAAAAGCATATTTGTTATAATTTATGACAGAAACAGGTCCGTAAAATATATCTCCAGACGTTAAATTGTAATGTTGAGAGAATGTTTAACAACATTTGAATTGTTTTAAACAGTTTACGGAATGTTGGTTACAGTAAGAATAAAGTTTTACAAATTTTTTTAAAATACCTAAACTATAAATATGCTTATTTGGTTTTTTATATTATATTGCAAAATTAAGGAACTCTTATTGAATTGGCATTAAGGTTAGGTTAAAAAGTACTTATATACATATATGAAAATATCAAAAATAAGAAATCAATTTATAGTTCCAAGCAAACTATTATAATGTTTAAATGTACAACTTCAGTTTTTCAACAATGATTATAACATAAAATTTTTTCAATTATATTTTTATACATATAAAACAAAAAACAGTACTAAAAATTTGTTTTTTTGTTTGTCACGCTTACCTTCCGTTCTTAGTAACGATCATTTCGTTAGTAAGAGTCTGGAACCGCACCCACAACTCTCTGTCGTCTAACGCCACGTTCACTTCTCTTTCTCTTCCCGCCCTTGAAGCTCCACCGACTGTAGGCTCCACTGCGCTTAATATATGCGATGCAGCCATGATTTCTATAACAATGACTTAAATAATAATTTATTTTTTACTATTTTTACAAATAAATTAGTTTTGATAATCTAGATAAGAAGATTTTTCTTTTTAATTAATCATGAATATATATGTTTTTTTTTTGTCCCAGTTTCAAATTATATATATATTAATATTGCGTAAAATCAGTGACTGTATTTTACTTCTAGAAACAGATATAACGAAAATTATTATTATTTTTTTGTCCAGGTTTTTAACCAAAAAGGTCGTATATTTTCTGCAACAAATAAAGTTCATATTTGAAAATAACTTCACCGTTTGTTGTTTCTAGCAAAGACTTTTAAATTATTTTTTAATATAATATTTCGGAATCCCTTTCAGGTTCCACTCATAATTAATTTCATTATAATCAACTATTGTTATACAAGAAATAATATTATTGTTTTGGCCCGTAAGTAGGTATAAGAAATTCATAACGCGAGAGTCAAAAAAACTTAAATAGTTCATATTAGAATAATGTATTAGAGTAATTAGTGTAAACAAAATCTTAAAGATAATACTTTCTTAATATTTTTCGTAATATTAATAGTCAACTGCATCTTAATCGACCCGAGAAATTATTGCGAATATATGAAGGCCTTAATAGTTTTTCTTTGTTTTGCATATATGGATTTTTTTAAAGAACATTGATCGCAACTATTTACACATATGAATATGGCCAAAAGATTTACAATTCTCATAATGCACCCAAAAAAGTTTCAGCTTTGTAAAGCTCAAAAAAATATCATAAACCTGTAGGTTTTACATGTTGTACTAATTTCAACCTTACATCTTGGAAACAAGGGTCTATATCTAAATTATTCCATTTATAAATAAATGGTTTTCTTAAAGTTTTCGGGAAGATTGCTGGTGACGGTGAAATGATTCACTTTGACTCTTTACCATTTTAAACTGGCACAGTAACTTATAATAGATACTTTCGAAAAAAGATTCATTCATGAAATTTCTGTTAAAAACAATTGGGGAGGATAAAAACAAATGTTACAGTTGAATAATTTTCTATAAATTAGCTTAAACTTATTGTTTTGAAAAGGCAAGGCTTAGATATTGATTAAAAAATTATATTTACTTTTATTCTTTTTTATTAATATTAATTCAAGCGATCATTTGACTTTACATTTTCAAACAATCTACCGAATATAATATGGTTTTCATTTATAAACCCATATTTACTCTACGCTAAGATCTATAAATCAAAAACTTTCTACTTTTCTACTTTAATTCGATTTGATTGATGTTCATTTTTAATTATTTTTTACACTTTACTAAAGTAAATCTATCTATCTAAAGATAGATGTTTCGCGTTAGATATAAAATTAGGAAATTCTTAACTGACTTTGATTAAAAATGTCTACATTATTCGATCTACACTACCTATATAAGAACTATCCTGAGATGAGCTTTGCATCTTTCTTTTTATTTAGACGGATTAAAGTTTGTTATTTAGAAATTATCTCTCACTATGTGTAATTGTCAATTAAATTATCAGTTACCGACAGACACGTAGTAAGTCCCCGGTTAGACCTCATCCAGCACATATTTTTACTCTCCCGGTGACGCTGTAAATGCCAAAGAGCTAACAGGAATACTCATTACAAAAAAAATCTCTATTTTCTAATAGTTGTATTGACTCTTGTGGTGTCTGTAGAGCTGTATGAATTATACTTTGAAATACATTAAAATTAAGTAAACATTCCGATTTCCCATAAAATATGTAGTAACCACTACTGCCTACAGTTTTATTGCAAATATAATCAGATAAATCTTCTTTATTGACATTTTTTAATCTTTGTTACAAATCTATTAAATGACAACTTATGTAAAAGCATTTTATAGTTAACTGTAAAAGAAGATCACAATTTTCCGGGTAAGATAATTAGAGCGAAAGTGTTATTTTTATTAAGTAAAAAAAGACTTATCTTTGTAAAATTCATCTTATAATTTAAGAATGAAAATATTTGCAGTTGGTAACAATAAAACCACATATAGATATTATCAGTATTATTATAAAGATTCATAGTTTTTAAGCAGTTAATTTGGTTTTTTCATAATTATTTTCCAAAAAATCTTATATGGCTAAGAAAACTAATAGTGTTTATATTTCAAGGATAATGTCTACTATCTATCTTCATGTGGGTTGGAGGGGTATTTCTTAAGCTCAAGTAAAAAAATTGTACAGTATAAATAATTAATGAGCCACAGAAGAAAAGCTACTTAACTATATTTGGTAAACATAAAATATTATGAAAATTTAACATTACATATTTATTTTAAGACAGACTTATATACTTTTGTAAGTATAAAGAATAACATTAGGCATATATTGTTTGTAGGATAGACTTTCAAAAAATCTTATAGGACCAGAAATTTGATTTTACTGAAAATTTATAAATCACTTACAAAATTGTTCATTATTAATCCCTAAAACATTATTCAAAAAAAATTTATACCTTAACATTAATAAAGTTCTAGAAATTTAGTTATATGAAGTATAAAAACAAGTTTTTTTTTATTTCTACTAGTGAAGTGCCAATGATTTTGTTTTCTGCTGGACCAATATAAATTAAAGATAGACTATTAAAAAATTAGTAAAACCAATAGGAGAAAATCCTTACCTTAAAATTCAACATTAGGCAACGAAGATGACGAACTGCACGAATAAATAATTAATCAATAATATCTAAATATATATTTGATTACATTCTAGACTGTTATCGGACGATTTGATACTTGGCTGTAATAGTTGTCGCGGGAGAATTAAATGATAATATCTGTATCAAAAAAGTTTAATACACTTGAAGTTATAAAAATATAATATTACACAATTAATCTAAATAGCACGATATAGTTCTATAGAAATATTTTCAATTCGTGAAAAAAATAGGTATTACAATATGCCAATGATGTAACTTGAACAAAAAAACAAAGTTTTGAAAGCTTGTAGTCGTTATTTCGTCTGCATCAACGACATTTGTAACTTGTAACCAAAACTATCACGAAATCTATGTAGCAAATATAACTTTTATTGTGTGCCACGCTCACGATCCTACATCCACTGTTTACCCAAATTGTTAACAGAACGGCCAATACAGTTGAACGAACCAGAATATTTTACTTAAAATTTAGTTTCACGTATTCCTTTATAATATAACTTATACTTTATTTATTTAATAAAAGAATAAACCATTTACTATTAGATTGTACATCTACCATACGATTATGTGAATTTATTTAAATTTTATTTCTCATATTTCATGACTTCATAAAGGTAACTATGTATTCCTTTGTTGATTTTATGGCTTTAAGCGAAGGTATCAAGGCCTAAATATACATATTAAAATATAATAAGCGTATTTCTAAGTTGCCTAATAAAACAACACGTGACTAACAAAGCTGTATTACAGAAAAACTTATGAAACCAGTAATACGAGTATATTACTAGAATAGAAGTTATATTAGAAGTAATAATTGAGTTATTCTACATGAATCATTACTATAAGCCTGTCTTAAACATTATAGGCATTAATATGAAGATTTAGATTTGTATATGTGTATCTTGTTGGCTCGAACTATGAAGTCATATTCATATGATTATTTCACGGCTCAGAGTCAGGGACTAAAAATATTTTTTTTATAAAAGAGCACTTGATTCTGAGGGAAAGGAAAATGGAAAATATATGATGTGTATTTCAAATAATATAAAAAAAATTACTCAGTACCCTTCTTATTGTAATAGGGATTTTTTTAATATATTAAACAGGTAGCTAATACTGATAAAACAAAGGGTTAAAGTTCTTCTTAAATGATTAACAACGTATCTATTATAAATCTTATATTATACAAAAATCTTTAAACACAGTGTGTTCATATTAAATATTTAAAAAAAAAACATTTTTATGTTTAAATTTTTGGGAATCGAATTTTATCATTAAAGAAAATATTTCATAAAATGTTTATCATAAACTATTTATTAATATTTTTGAATATTAATATTAAATTTGATTTTGATTAAATTATAAATACACTACCTTTACAGCGAACTCTTTATTTTCTATGGTCAATGGGCTACGGTCACGTGACTAACACCTAATTGTCACTGCAAGATATTATCATTAGGTTAACAAAAATACACACAAAAGACAATCGTATCTAGTAATGTATACTTATGCTCTTGAATTTTCAGTCCATTTCATTTATAAAATAGTTTTTTCATGTTTAAACAAAAATTCAAAATATATGTTACAACATTAAAAACAACTTTTAAACTATGTAGACGAAAATAACTTTATATCTTTAAAAAAAATTAAACATAATTATAATAAACTTTTCTTAGTTATATTACACCTATTATATATGACGGCTTACTAAAAAATATGAACAATTTATATGTTAGCAAAAACACATAAAAAGATACATACGAAATGGCTATTGTAATTCAGCTTAATAGTTTGTTTGTACTTGCATTTATAGCTTCATTTACAAACTTGAGGTGACTTTGTAACGTGAAGTGAGAGGTAACATATAGGTAAGTTTGCGACATCATCACGAAAACTTAATTTAAACACCAAAAAAGAAAAGTGTAATTTTATGTAAGACATTAATGTAATGTGGTGAAATTTTACAAAGTTCATAGTATTTTAATGCTTAATTGTAATAATGATTTATTCTCATATATTCCTGATTTTACCTTCGTTTCATTGTATTATGTAAAGCTATCCGTATCTTGGTGACATTGAAATCGCAATTGCATATGAATTGAAACAGAATATTCTTGAACTTAACTAGAATTTAAATAGATGTGAGTCTTGACTGCTTAACAAAATTTATTTAACTACGGACTGCTAGCGTCCCTACCGCATTCAATGTTTGCAATAATATATAGGAAAAATTGATACTTAATATATAATTATAAGGTCATGAACATACTTATTATGTATATAAATTCGATTTATTTTAGC